TTTGTACTGACGTCCCTTTTACCTGGGGACGATGCGTTTCATACCCGCAAGTCCCGATAGACAGGTCGAGAGCCCTCAAAGTAGGCTATCTGCTCAATGGAAGATGTTGGTGCGCTCCATTTGCTTCAGAGTTGCTTGTTTGGTTAGTATGATTTAGATGTGTATTGTTTGATATGGCGGGACTCTATCCCGACCTTTATGAAAATTATGTGTTCTTAGAGGCTTGTAGACAGATGTCATGTACGTAAAAGATTGTATGGCCTTGTCGGCCTATATTCAGTGTACGAGTGGTTATTTTGGCCTTATAGGCCCGTGTGTCTTACGTATAAATTGATATTACATGTTGTATTCTACCTATTTCACGGCAACCTCTCCGGCTCAGTTATCTATGATAGTATGATACGAAAAGATACGTTATGTTGGTACTCGGTTGAGTAAGGTACCGGGTGCCTGTCGCGGCCCATCTGTTTGGGTCGTGACAGAAAAATTCACTCTCTTTTTGTTTCCTGGCTGCCTTCTACTCTATTCTAATGTCTCGTCGGCCATCAATACTAGGGTGTGTATCTTGAGTTGCACGAAGAGAGAGATTTTTCTTTCTCGTCGGCCATCAATACTAGGGTTTGAGTTGCTCGAAGAGAGAAAGAAAAAATATTTGAGAGAGAATCTTGTATTATTGAAAGAAAGAGGGAGGAAAAATATAAATAGCGTATTTCATGCCTAAATGGTAGTATATACTATAAATACCTATTTTGCTATAAAATATAAAGGCAGCTATAAAAAATAATATTTTAAAATAATTTTGGTTTATAATAAATAGGGTGTATACCTTTGCTATAATATCCGACCAATATTTTTATTAAGAAATTGGTCTTCAAATGGCTTGGTTTAGACAAAACAAAGCCGTCCGTAGCGTATCCTTGATATTGTCGCAAAAACAAAAGGTAAAGACAAAACAAATTCATAAAACAAACATTTCCTAATCGAGTGTAAACAGTGTGTAAATGAAACGACTTTGTCAAAAATTTCTTTTTTTAAAAAAAAAATTATTTTCCTCTTGAATTATGTATACATAATCAGTCATCTGTCTGAAAGATCTTACACAATCCAAGCCATGGTTTTCACCAAAATTTTGAACATCTTGCTATTCTTAGTACTTTTTGTTATCCCTTGTTTCTATTCATTGAACTTTAAGCTCTCCAGCATCAATCCTTCTGATGCTAATGGTTCCATCAATGTCACTGGAGACGCCTATATATCGAACCAAGGCATCCAAAGTCACCCCTGATGAACGTAACGTGGCATTAGGTGGAAAAAGTGGTCGAGCTAATTTTATTGAGCCGCTGCAATTATGGAAAAAGGCTACAGGAGAATTGGCAGATTTTACTACACATTTCTCCTTTGTTATTGATTCAAATGGTAACAATAGCTTTGCTGATGGACTCGCCTTTTTCTTGGCTCCTGTCGGTTCCAGTATCCCAATTGGTTCAGCTCATCCCCTGAGCCATTTGTTGCTATCGAGTTCGATACATTTCTCAATACCTGGGACCCACTCTATTTACATGTTGGTATCAATGTAAATTCTATGGAATCTGCGGTTACTCAAGTATGGAGGAATAACATTACAGTAGGGAAGAAAAATAATGCTTGGATTAGTTACAATGCTAGTTCCCATACTCTTAAAGTTGTTTTCACTGGATTTTCAAATAACAAATATAACAAGGACAGCCTTAGTTTATTGATTGATCTGAGTAATTATTTGCCTGAGAATGTTACTTTTGGCTTCTCAGCATCAACTGGACAATTGTTTCAGAAAAACAATGTCAAGTCTTGGGATTTCAATTCGAGTTTGAGTTTTGAACATGCTGAACAGCCTAGTGCAAATCCTCCTATTCAAGTTCTAAATCCAAATGATCCTCCTATTACTCAAGTTCAAGATCCAAAGTTTCGTCCTCCTCAAGAAGTCAGCGCCAGGAAAAAAGGAAACAAGGGACTAGTAGTTGGATCAAGCATTTCTGGTGTTCGGATTGATTACTGGTAGCTGCTTTTTATGGAAAAAAAAAAGAGGAAAAGGAATGATAAAGACCATGTTTTTATTGATCTCAGTATGGACAATGAATTTCAAAAGGGTACTGGCCCTAAGAAGTTTTCCTATGGTGAATTAGCTCGTGCAACGAACAATTTTGCTGAGGGACAGAAGCTTGGAGAAGGTGGATTTGGCGAAGTTTATGAAGGTTTATTGAAGGAATGTAAATCATATGTTGCTGTTAAGAGAGTATCAAGAGGTTCTAAACAAGGGATAAAAGAGTATGCATCAGAAGTGAAGATCATAAGCCGATTAAGACATAGAAATTTGGTTCAACTTATCGGTTGGTGTCATGAGAAAGGACAGCTGCATCTTGTTTATGAACTGATGCCTAATGGAAGCTTAGATAAGCATATTTTCAAGGAGAAATCGTTGTTGGTATGGGAAATCAGGTGGAAAATTGTTCAAGGATTAGCCTCGGCTTTGCTCTATTTACACGAAGAGTGGGAACAATGTGTAGTCCATAGGGACGTAAAAGCAAGTAATGTCATGTTGGATTCAAACTTCAACGCTAAATTAGGCGATTTTGGTTTGGCTAGACTTGTTGATCATGAAAAAGGATCTCAAACAACAATGTTGGCGGGGACAGTGGGGTATATGGCGCCTGAATGTGTTATGAATGGAAAAGCTAGTAAGGAATCAGATGTCTCCAGTTTTGGAATAGTAGCATTGGAAATAGCAAGTGGAAGAAGATCAATAGATATTAAAGCAGCAGAAGATCAAGTGAGATTGGTGGAATGGATTTGGAACCTCTATGGAATTGGAAAACTAACTGAAGCAACTGATCCAAGATTGAATAAGATATTTAATGAGCAACAAATGGAACGTTTAATGGTGCTCGGTCTCTGGTGTGCTCATCCAGACAACAAACTCAGGCCATCAATAAGGCAAGCAATTCATGTTCTTAATTCTGAAGTTCAGTTACCTATTCTTCCCTCAAGAATGCCTGTTGCGACGTATTCTCCCCCTCCATTGAATATGTTTTCGCCTCCATTTTCACATACTTATGAAACTAAAACAGTGGGGAGTGAGCAGGAACAGACTATGACTTACACTTATAACAGTACTAAATCCTCAAGTGTTTATGCATCATCAGCTGCTTCATCGACAAAATCACTTTTGTAACCATGGCTACTGCTTTTTCATATATTGAATTAGCTCAAGAGTTCATTTCTGTCTGTTTCACTTAGGTGAATTTTATGTAACTTTCCTCTCTTGCAATTAAGGACTTTGACGACTAACAGAACCGAATGCTTTTCATGGATGATTGAGTTATAAATTTTGTTAGAAGTTGAATTCAATTCCATTTGACAGCAGAAACAAAGGAAATTTCAACTTTCTTTTATGATTTTGACTCTTTCATCTTTTGAAAGGTTGAAGTTATTGGAGGTTGTTCGTTGGGAGAAATGTTTATAGGCATATAACATATTTGCTCCAACATTGTAGTCCGGACAGGACAAGAAATTTGCCTGAATAAAATATAACCTACATATCATTCTGTATCTTGTAACTAACATCAAGTTCTAGCTATATAAATAAATAAAAGAATACAGTAGTGAAACCAGCTACAGTATTTTTTTAAAAGGAATTTAGTTTAACTGTTTTGAGAATTTGAAAACTAAACAGACGAAGACACTAGGCCCCGTTTGGCCATGAGTTTTCCCAAAATAAATTTGGGATTTATTTTCAAAACTCATGTTTGGACATAAATTTTGCTCATATTTTTTTGTCAAATCTCAAATTGAGCTGATTTTGGGCCAAAATCATGTTTTTCCAAAATAAAGTTGAAAAATATGTTTTGAAAACGTATGTCCAAACACATTTTCATCTTCAAATCAAACTTCACCCAAATCAGATTTTTCAAAATAAATTTGGGGTCTATGGCCAAACGCTAGCTAAGTCATTTAACAGACTAGTATCTCAAGTATCATGAGGAGCTTTCTTAAACTATAAAACCGAGTTTGACATTTTCATATCAGCTTTTTGATACTATGTTTTTATGTACATATATTGCACTAGAAAGCTAGATATTTTGCAGAAAACAAAGTTGTCCATATCCTAGGGGACCCTTGGCGTAACTGGTAAAGTTGTTATCATGTGATCAAGAGATCACAGTTTCGAGCTGCGGAAACACCCTTTACAGAAATACAGCTGCGTACGATAGACCCTTGTGATCCGGCTCTTCCTCGGATCCCGTGCATAGCGGGAGTTTAGTATTTAAAGCCGTCCATTGCCTCTTTGTTCTTGTCAGAAAGACATAAAGCCACCAGGAAGACACCAAAAAAACTTCTTTTTGATGATTGTAGACAATGACGGAAAAAGAAAGATATACTATTATAAAAAATAAGACGACCTTCTCAACTGCAATCTTAGTGACTCTTACAATCCAGGCTATTGTTTTTTTTGTTTCGAACTTTTGATTCTTTCTGTTGAAAGCCGGCATTTCCATGTTTTACAATTCATCTGTTGTAGCAGCAACACAAAAATAATCTCCCTATTACCTCTTATAGATTAAAAAGTAAAATTGATCTCTTTCCCATCAGTTATTAAAGAGAGTTGATGTTAAAGGGAGAATGAGTTATATTGTGCATTTCAACCTTTAATAGTAATACAAGAGCAGATCTCAACTAGAACTAATACAGCTAATTACTCCAACTAATCAATTCAAGAATATCAGCAAGTCAACAACCGCATAACCAATAACAATTCTTCGCTTAAAAATAAACTATTAAAACAATCATAAAGATTAGAATCTGCAATATTACTTTCTGAAACTTGCGTATAAATCAAGAAAATTTTCTTTTGTCTCGGCAACAGATTCCAAGATTAGTGGTAATTACAGTTTCTGTTCAAAATAGGTAAGCTTCTCAAAACAATAGTCATCAATTTAACAAGTCAGACTTTTTGTTCACTTTTATTTCACACAATACCAAAGTTACTAACATGTCATAATAATAGCAAAACATAGATGAGATACAGGATCAGAAACATATGTTTCAAAATAGTCGACGTCGACGTAACGATTTTTTAGTTTCTGAATCCTCCCACACTGGAGTTTTTATCTCAGAACCAGCATTATCATAACAGGGCAAAATGCAACCACTTCTCATATCATACTGTCTCCAACCATCAATTCCCTTATGAGTAAAATAGACACAGTTATTTCTGCAGCCAACTTGACTTGCAGGCACTGAAGCGGAGCAATTAATCCCCGCAAATAGCGTTCTATCTCCGAGATTTTCCAGCTTTAACCATGACAAATCTTCAATCTGCAGCTTAAACACTTCCACGTTGTCCACCATCTTGTTTGATCTTTCTGAAATTAGGAAAATGAGCAAGATTTCCCCATTAGACTCAAGAAAGCACTCTATGAAATGCTTTGAGTAACTCGAAGGAATGGCTTGTTTTCTACTTAGTCGCGTAAGTTGAAACTGAGATTCATCACTTTCTTCTATTACTGCCAGAGTCCCCTGCAAACTTAGTGCATAAAACTTCCCTTCAAAGATAATGGCGTTACTGAATTGTATCAGTTGCCCCTTAGGATCATTTGGATCAATTAGGCCATTTTGACTGCTTTCTTGTTGCATCCATTTTTGGTTTTTTCCTAACTGATAAACCACAAATGGTGGAAAGCAACAATATCCACTACCAACAAAAGGATAGTAGTGAGAATGAGAATTTAGTAAGGGAAACATAAATGATTTTCTGGCATTGTATGAGTAAGTAGCCCAATGAGTATAGCCTTTGGAAGTATTCAGAAAACAGCAATCAATGGGTATATTTTCTCTATTCAACGAAGGTAAGAAGTAATGAAAATGCTTCCAAGGATCATAACGCGGCCTTCTTCTACCATGCCACCAATAGCAACCGGCTTCTTCAAATGAGAGGTTGAAGGAAAGCTGCTGAGTTTTGCAATAGTATTGAGGTTCATTTGAAAGCTCAAGCCACGGTGATTGTGCGATGGAATCACATTTCTTGGATGCAAATCTCCATGATTTAGAAACACCAGCAGAACCTATGGATTTTGCTAGAGTTGAATGTGTTGGTTGCTTTTGGAGAAAGATGACTAGCTTTTCAGGAAGATTTTGCCATGGTTCCACATAAACAGACTCTTCTTTAGATGAAGTTTTCTGTTTCCTCCTATCATTCGGAGCCATGTATAGATAATGGATAAAAGAAACAAGGACTAATTCTGGAGCTTCTCTGACGATCCAAAAAATGCATTTATAGTCTAAGTCTCCCTGTTCCAGCTGTTTATTTTATTACACTTGGGCTCCAAGAATCAAGATAGTTGACTTCGTCAAAAACTATTTTTGTTATCAAGTTGTGATTTGAAGGAATTCTTTTTTATAGGCTGAGTTTTCATTTCCTTCACTTCCCCTTCAAAGGGGGCTAAACTTGCAATTTACATATTCAATCTTACTCCAACTTATCTTGAATGGAGTGATTCTCCATAGTTTTAACTTTTTGTTGACTCCCTTGATGTTTTTATTAACACATTTCATTAGCAAAGATGATCCTAAATTTAAATACTCCAAAAACAAAGACTAAATTGGTACGATGCCAGGTTATTGATGAGTAGCTAATTGTAAATAATGGCATTGAATTCAGACCACTTAGGTTACTTTTAAAAAGCGTGTGGATTGTCCTTGAATCGAAATGTAGGTAGCATAGTGAAGAAATTGATGTCTTATGTTGTTACATGCAGGACATGGTTACTGCTACTTGCTATCAAATTATGAACTTTTCGGAACTAAGACGGTATTTGAAAAATAATTTGTCTTCTGCATCTCAAAATTACAGTTGTTCAAACTGGAGCAATTATATTACTTTCTGCACTACTACTTTTTTCACAGTGAGTTCCAGATGGATGTTAAATTAATAAGGCATCTAAAGGGTCAACTCAATTATTTAATTGAAAGAAACTACCACTAACCTTGTGCTCCAAGAGATCAACTAACTTGGAGTCTACCGTTACTTGGTGGCCACATCTGATCTTGATTATTTTAAGCTGCCTCAAGCTATATTCCGATATCATTTCCTTCTCTAGCTCTCATTTCTGCACACAAAAAGAAGAGCATGGTTCAAAAAGTCAAGAAGGATAAGAATCAAAGTTCACCAAAGAAAGAAGCCAATAACAGCTCAAGGCCATGGCCAAATCTTCCCAAAGAACTCACCAGCTTAATCTCAAGCGAACCGAGTCTAATGGAAAACATCAGTTTTGGTGGTGTCACCAAGTCATGGAGATTAGCACACTCTAAAAAATGTATCCCAATAGGAAAATCCCTATGGCCACAACTCACTGAAATTCCAAAAAACGAGAATCATTCTCACTGCTTTCATATCTGGTTTCATATAGGATATTACTGGCCTTATGGTAGAAGATCGCGGACATGGAAAGACCCTTGGATATATTTCAAGGGTCACTCTCATGGTTCACTAATAGCAGTTGGACGCTGTCCGGATGATATCTTACTGTGGAAATCCTACAGAGAGACCTACTGTCACCTTTCCGTCTTGGGATAACCGCGTTCCATTCAAGTTTGCAACTTTATCTACGTTTCAACCCATAGGTCTCAATGATTATGGAAAAACTTGTATAATTATGGTGCTAACAGGTGCTGTTTCTCCAGTTTTTGTGTTCTGTGAAACGGGGGCCGGAAAAGAACGTGTGTGGAGGAAGCAAGACTGTAACCTCACTGACCCCTTTGGCTCAGGTGAACATTTGCAGTTCATAAATGTCATTGGCTTTAATAGAAAATTCTACGCGTTCAGATTGCAGGGGACACTTGCAGTTATTGAAGAAGTTGATTCTAGCCTTAGAGTCACTGAGAAGAGTTCAAGCAGGGCTGTTCCTTCTGTTATTTCAAGGCAATTCAGGGAAATTTTAGTTGAATCAGATGGGGAGATATTACTGATTTTCTTGATCTCTAAAAGATCCATTAAAAAAGTGGAGGATGTTGAAGTTTACAGGCTAGATATTCCAAAACTGTTGTGGGTTAAGATGGAAAGCCTTGGGCATAGAACATTGTTTGTGAAGGAAGAATGTTGTATGTGGATTAATGGCAGCAAGCTAGGATGCAGGAGCAATTGCATATATTTTGCTCAGCAAGTAAGTGGAAACCGGTGTCTATTTGACATGCAAGCAAAAGCAATATCACCTGCTCCTGAAAGCAACCTTTTTGGTATTGAATCTTTGATGTAGAATTGATCACCAGGAGCAACCAGTAATATTCTTCTTCCAGATTAATCACTATAATATTTCGATTTTCATGGGAGCAAAGCATGGAAAATGGTCACTTTGTTTTAACACAAGACCATATACATGTACAGTTCTTCAGATTTTTATGTGAATTATTCTCTCAATACAACTGAACAATCAACCAAGCAACTATGACTCAATCCCCCTTAATAAAAAATTTGCAGCATTATGCTATACACGACTTGATATTGCTACTTAGTATCAACTATGAACTTCTCAACAGCAAAACAAGGATGATTCTTGAAAAATAACTTGCCTTCTGCATCTTATGCGTACGATTGTTCAAACTGGAGTTCATATTTTTCTGCACTTATGCTGTTTTCCAACATGGTGTGTTGTATACTTCGGGAGGTATTTAGTCATGTATTTAATTGGTCAAACATGTCATCTAATTCACTGAGCATTACACTAATAATTGGCAGTTTTATGAAATGGAAATTGCAAGCCTAGTTTATTAACCTGTTTATATGATTATGGTTCTGAAACAATGAAGTCTACTATGGGTTTATACACAACAAAGCCAGTTACCATAGCACCAAAACATGCTTGAAATGGTGGAGTGCTCCAAAAAGAAGCATGTTCTATTCGGAATACATGGTAGCTGTATGGCAAAAATATTTTCTAAAAAAATGTGATAATTAACCCATTCTTGGCCTTATCTCAATTCCTTCAACAATAAGGCCTTCTTTCTGAGATACACTGTCCTTCACCTCTTTCATACTCATTAATATGCAATCATCTTCATTTTCAGCAAAAAACTCACCCAATTCTATCTCAAACCAGCCGTCATCTCTAAGTTTAGGACGTTGAATATCAGACTGCAAGGGAGTAGAAGCATCCTCCGGCAAATACCTATCCACATCAGTGGGCGGAGAATAAACTGGCTCCTCATAATCATCATCTGACTCCACATAGCGATTACGCCGTTGAGGTCTACCATCCGGCACCAAAAATGCAAATCGTTTGTCGAATTCAACACCAGAAACTCCAACTGAAATCTCTGAGGGTCGATAATGAAACCCGAATTCATCTTCCAACTTGTAAACAAGGTAAGCTACATAGGAAGTCTGTGGTGACAGAATCCCAGCTCTTATTGTGCCCCAAATTTCAAGCCACCAAACAAGTATGAGCTCAGCCACCTCTGGAAACCTGATTAGACAAACAATTGCCATTAATGCATACACTATCTGTTTCAAGAAAAGGATAGTAGAAATCCGCTAAAAAATGGCAAACCTGGACTCTGGTAGTGAAGTCCATTTCCAATAGTCTGGTGTATCACCCCATGCAATATTAAGATCCCTTGCACCTAAAAAGTAGCATTTCTTTCCAGTCCATTTTTCCAGCGAGAAACTCTGTTGAACAATAGCATAAAGTAAGAAACGCACAACAAATGAAAGACGACAAGCTTAACATGTACCTATAGTGGATTAACAAGACGACAAGAGACGTCTGTTTATAGAAACATCTTAAAGGATAAATATAAGAAGCACTAAATTTTGAGGCAAGCAGGGGGAAAAATTTACTACCAACTTAAGTTTTCAAGTTAATTTTTGTTTTCTACCCAAGGGAAACAAGTAGACGGTGGGAGTAATAAGCAATAATTTAGTAGTTACAAGTTGACAATTGACACCCCATGTGTGAGAAAAAGATCAGAAGCTTACTTTATAAAAACATATTTTATGCTCCCTCCGTCCATTCGAATTTGGAGAGTCAAACTTCTTATTTTATTAAATTTATTAAGTAATGGAGTACATTTTTAAGGACATCCTCAATAGTCAATACCATGCTCTTCAGAATAGTCCGCTTATAGTTAGGTAGAAGCTAGTAGTTTCGGCCCCGTATTTGTATTAAAAAATTTCACTTGATGTGTAAAAACAATTTATCCAGAAAGCTGATTTTTCTAAAATTCAGAACCCAAAAACTCAGAATCTTAACTTCCCCTCTCGGACTCCCAAAATACCTTGTGAGATTGGGATTGCAGACAAATTCAGTTACCTTTTTTTCTTTTCCATGTTTATAAATGTAATTACAATCCTTTTGTTAATGTATCAACAATTATAGTAGAACTAACGAATGATGTGAGCACTGAAAATTAAGAAATCAATGAAGCATATTTTTACTAGTTTTTCATTTTATACCTTGCGACCTGCATCAATTAAGAGGGGATGATGGCATAGATAAACATAGAGATCCTTCTTCGAATGAAAATCGGGTATCAGACTCATTGATCCGGCAATGATGGACTCATAATCGGAGGGCAGGAATTTTTCCCAAACGGAATCCAACTCGGCCGCGGGTCGAACCGGTTTAGAGACTAAAGAAAAACGGCAAACGTCCAGAGGGCTTGTAAAGGCCAAGATCTTTGCAATACAATCCTCCGGTAGCATCCATAGACAAGTAGTAATCCTCTCATTTTCATATTCACCATTCGCATTCGAATTCTCCATTAAGCCAGGAGAAGAAAGCAAAACCTATACAAGAATGATAGACAAATCTAGATTTTTATTATTGCTTTTAATGTGTTCAAATTAAGTTAGAAAACTTCCTATTTATTAGAAAAGAAAATAACCTGGTGAGTGGTGACCAAGTAATTAGCTTGATCTCCAAGTATAATGAACAGATAATCTGATTATGCAAATTAAATGTAATCTATGCAATCAGGTTACCTTAAAAATCTTTTAAGGCTCTTAAAACAATTTAATTTGCATAAATCATAAGTATTCTTTTCCTTTCAATTTATTTGTCTTACTAGTTTGACTAGTTCGGATTTTAATAAATCATAAAGCTTTTTTATCTTGATTTTAAATTAAAAATGCATATAATGTACCAAAGTATCATTTATAGTCTCAAACATGCCATGTAGGATATCAAAATTAAAGAGTTACTAAATATAAAAAATAATATTATTTTTTAAATAGAATAAAAAGAAAGTAAGACGTATATATTGATTGTTTGGCTAATTGTGATGTCGTTTATAAGGGTGTGATTGGTATGGCAAAAGATTGTTTTCAAAAAAAAAAGTAGGATTTTCAGAAAATAAGATTCCATTTGAGTTAGCTTATTAAAATTATTTAGTAAATTTCTACTTATACTTGGAAAAAGTTCAGTGACCTTTTAATTTTAAAAAGTAGTTAGTGACTTTTTGTAATACTTGTACAACAAAAGACAAGAGTGACAAACTAGATTTGACATATTGTTTTTTTTTTTTGGTAAATAAAGAATTTTTATTAACCAACTCGAAGAATTACAAACAAGAAAGAAAAAAAAATTGGTACCTAACTCATAGGTCCAGAAACTAGAAAACACCATAACTCCAAAATGCACCATAACACCTTTGGCTGCACTTCCTGATTACAAGTTCTATGCAGGATAGAAATTTAAGTTTTCCAACCGTGCCTTGATCTTGTTTTTCATGTTACCCCGATGAAATATCTCCCGGATGACGGATGACCTTTGACATATTGTTCTTCTTACAAGTAATTATTGGTAATACAACATAAACAATTGAAAGGTGAGTAATGTTGGTTTTGAATGTATTTAATTAATATATTAAATACTTAAAAGAGAGTGAATGGGAAATGAAGGAAAATGAAATTTTTGAGTGAAATTTTAAGTCCCCCCTTGGCAAATGGGCATTGTCCTATATTGGAAGAGGAAGAGGTTTTTTATGGGTATATAAGCAATTGCTCTTCTTCTAGCTCTTAGAGAGTTGAGAAGAAGGCAAGCCTCGCGCCGTCGTCGTCGTCGCTCGCTCGGCTACGGCTTCGGCTTCGGCTTCAGAAAATATTAACAGAAATGTTATTAAATATTTTTTTTAATAACAGAATATTAATATTAAATATTAATATTAAATCCGATCCGTTTTTCTGTTTTGGTAACAGAAAAGTAACTACCCTCTTCAATTTTCCCTCTTTATTGTTGAGTAAATGGCCATTTATGTAATGGCATTTATGCTGTGGGCGTTTTGCATAAACAGCCATTCTGAAGAGTTGCACCTCTTCAGATTTCAGCCCAACTTTGGCTATAAATACAACACTATTCTGCTCAGAATTTCACTACGATTTTCTGAGTTTTCTCTCCTTCTTCTGTATACTTTTAGCATCAAACAAAGTAAAAAGTAAGTGTGATTTGCTACCAAACTTTGTGTTCGCTGAAACACTGGGGTTTGAAGTACCACTACACCAGTGTGTAATTCGTTCTATCCTGGGAGGAAATAATCCATAACCTTGGGTACTAGGAGGGGATTAAATTCCTTAAGGAAACACTGTGAATTCAGTGGGCTCGAATTGGTTTTCTGACATTTTTGTTTATGTTCATTTCTGTTTATATTCATTTATATTATCAGAATTATTTTACAAATACAGTATACTAACAAGCTTAAGGAATTTAATATATTTTCTTTATTTGTACTTACTGTTTCTGGAAGAGTAAAACCTTTGTGGTTTTATACTCTATTAAAATCTACGTGATTTTAACGTTTGTGTCATTCTTTTACAGAAATGACTAATGAGAATGAGAACCAAGCTGTTCCAATGGTGACTGCCAATGCCTCAACAAGCCGAACGACACCGGCAGCAAAAACCCGGAAAATTTTCCGGGATTGATTTCAAGCGCTGGCAGCAAAAGATGTTCTTCTATTTGACTACTCTAAGTCTCCAGAAGTTCATCAAGGAAGATATTCCTGTGCTGTCCGATGAAACTCCAGAAACTGAACGCTTTCTCGTGATTGAGGCGTGGAAGCATTCAGATTTTTTGTGCAAGAATTATATTCTAAGCGGGCTGGAGGATGCTTTGTATAACGTCTATAGTGGCGTGGAAACGTCAAAAGAATTGTGGACTGCGCTTGAAAAGAAATACAAAACCGAAGATGTCGGGTTGAAAAAGTTTGTTGCTGCAAAGTTTTTGGACTACAAAATGGTAGATAGCAAGTCTGTTATTACCCAAGTCCAGGAATTGCAAGTGATTATTCACGATCTTCTTGCTGAAGGTCTTGTCATCAATGAAGAATTTCAAGTAGCAGCAATGATTGAGAAGTTGTCTCCTTTGTGGAAGAACTTCAAAAACTACTTGAAACACAAACGCAAGGAGATGTCCCTTGAAGATCTCATTGTTCGGTTGAGAATCGAAGAGGACAACAAAGCTGCTGAAAAGAGAGGCCGTGGAAAATCAACAATAATGGGAGCAAATATTGTTGAAGAGAACAAAAAGAGGAAGAAGGCTTCTGGACCGAAATACAACCCAAGCAAGAAGCGGTTCAGTGGAAACTGCTACAACTGTGGAAAAACCGGACACAAATCTACGGAGTGTCGTGCTCCGAAGAAAGACAAGAAGAAGGGTCAAGCAAACATGGTTGAAAAGTATGATGATGTTGATGATTTATGTGCCATGCTTTCCGAATGCAACTTGGTGGGCAATCCTAAAGAGTGGTGGATTGATTCTGGAGCCACTCGCCATGTTTGTGCTGTTAGAGAAGCTTTTGCTTCTTATGCTCCTGTTGGACCCGATGAGACGATTTCTATTGGAAATGCTTCAAAGGCGAAGATTGAAGGATGTGGGAAGATATTTCTCAAAATGACTTCCGGCAAAGTGGTGACTTTGAACAACGTCCTTCATGTTCCCGAGATTAGGAAGAATTTAGTCTCTACTGGACTTCTTGTTAAGAATGGTTTTAAATGTGTTTTTGTTTCCGATAAGGTTGTAATAAGTAAGAATGAAATGTTTGTAGGAAAAGGTTACCTCACTGAGGGCCTTTTCAAGCTGAATGTAATGGTTGTTGGAAATAATAATAAAGTTTCAGCTTCGTCTTAAATACTTGAGTCAAATGAATTATGGCATATACGTTTGGGTCATGTCAATTATAAAACCTTACGGAAAATGATTAATTTGGAAGTATTGCCCAAGTTTGAATGTGACAAATCAAAATGTCAAGTATGTGTGGAATCAAAGTACGTTAAACATCCTTATAAGTCGGTTGAAAGGAATTCAAATCCTTTAGACTTAATTCACACAGATATTTGTGACATGAAGTCAATACCATCTCGCGGTGGAAAAAAGTATTTCATAACTTTTATTGACGATAGTATTCGATATTGCTATGTTTACTTACTTAATAGTAAAGATGAAGCAATAGACGCATTCAAGCAATACAAAAATGAAGTTGAAACGCAACTTAATAAGAAAATCAAAATGATAAGAAGTGATAGGGGTGGTGAATATGAATCTCCTTTTGAACAAATATATTTAGAATATGGAATTATTCATCAAACAACGGCCCCTTACACGCCCCAATCCAATGGGATTGCAGAAAGAAAGAATCGTTCATTAAAGGAGATGATGAACGCATTATTGATAAGTTCTGGTTTGCCACAGAACTTGTGGGGGGAAGCCGTTCTTACGGCTAGCCGAATACTAAATCGAGTACCCCATAGCAAAACATAATCCATTCCATATGAAAAATGGAAAGGAAGGAAGCCCAAATTGAATTATTTTAAAGTGTGGGGTGTTTGGCAAAAGTGCAAGTTCCTAAACCCAAAAGGGTAAAAATAGGACCGAAAACTGTTGATTGTGTTTTCATAGGATATGCGACTAACAGTAAAGCATATCGATTTCTAGTTCATAAATCAGAAAATCCTGAAATTCATGATAATACGGTTATAGAATCGGATAATGCTGAGTTCTTTGAAAATATATATCCATATAAAAAGGAGTGTGAGTCGATTGGTGAAGGATCTAAATGACCTCGGGAAGAAACAAAAGAAAGTACACTTAATCAGGAGGATCCAAGACGTAGTAAACGTCAAAGAACGTCTACTTTATTTGGACCAGATTTTGTGACTTTCTTATTGGAAAATGAGCCTCAAACATTTAAAGAAGCTATGTCTTCTTTGGAATCATTGTTATGGAAAGAGGCAGTCAATAGTGAAATAGAGTCCATACTGAACAACCATACATGGAAATTGGTTGATCTTCCTCCTGGAAATAAACTGTTGGGTTCTAAATGGATATTTAAGAGGAAAATGAAAGATGATGGCACTATTGACAAGTATAAGGAAAGACTAGTGGTCAAAGGGTATAGACAACGAGAAGGTCTTGACTATTTTGATACATACTCTCCAGTTACAAGGATTACGTCCATACGAACGTTAGTAGCGTTAGCTGCAGTTTATGGTCTTGAAATTCATCAAATGGATGTTAAGACGGCCTTCTTAAATGGAGAGTTGAAGGAAGAAATCTACATGGAACAACCTGAAGGGTTTGTAGTTCCAGGTAAAGAAAAGAAGGTCTGTAGACTTGTTAAGTCCCTTTACGGATTAAAACAAGCACCCAAACAATGGCATGCTAAATTTGACCAAACAATGTTGTCAAATGGATTTAAGATAAATGAATGTGATAAATGTGTGTACATTAAAAATGTTCCAAATCACATAGTCATTGTTTCTTATATGTGGATGATATGCTCATAATGAGTAATGACATTGCCAACATAAATGCTACTAAGCGTATGCTAACTAGCAAGTTTGATATGAA